CATCCAAAAGTACAGAAACTTTTTGTCACTGCCATTATTCTAGCATCATTATTTACAGCTCCTCGCCTCCAATTCATTGGGCGGTTCTCCGTCTTGTCCCCGTTTTGCCCATTTGTAGGCTGCCCACCAGGCCGGTGAAGACGAAGTCTGCCTGTCCACCATGGGGCGCACCTACACCATCGACTTCAACGCCATGCAGCAGATCAACGAGGACACGGGCACGGCACGGCCGGTCCAGAGACAGCCTAACCCGGCCTGCTCTGCCTCTTCATCAGGTAACACTTTCTCTCCGGAACACAGAAGAAGCACTCCCCCCAGTTCCCCCGTCTCCAATATTCACCCGTCAGTAGCTCTTAAGGTCACCCTTTGGAGCATAGGTTTCCAAGAATCTGTTTCTTGCGCGTGAACATGTAGAAATTTGGGTATCGCCTTCCCTCAAATGATTATCGATACTCAGGCATGCTTTGGCTGAGGGAGTCCTTCTAGGGCTAGGGCTATTGTCGGAGTGTTCCCCATGTTTCCATTGGTTGAGGACGAGCTGTAGCCTTAGATAATCAATTCAGATGCAGTCCTTGCACTTGTGAATCCAGTAGGGGCTGAAGATGCCCCGTACCCCCCGCCAAGTCAAATGTTTCTGCTGCTAGTGCTGTAAATGATATGAGTGATACAGAAACTTCCAGTAGCTGGCCAACCCCTCCCCCCTCAGCAAATGAAAATCTTGATCCGCTCCCAACTTGTCTTTGTCACACTGAACTTCCAAAAAGTAGGGACTCTGGGCATCAGGGTGATTTTGTTGACACCTGACGTATTCCCATGTGAAGGATTTCAATGACCACACCGCAAAGCTTGGTTGGAAGAGCACCAGGGCGTCAATCTGTCGGCCCCAGGTTCTAATCCCGTCAGTCTCGTCTGCATTACGCTGTATTAGCACAGTTTCTGTTACTTTCTTCCCCTCTCCCCCGACCCCTTCCAAGCAGCCAACTCTGCGGCCATCAAGGAGGATGCCCGGGCAGCCCTGCTGAAGGAGGACCCGGACCTTGCAGCGCTCTTCATCAAGGCCCTCTTCGCTGTACTCTATGAGGTCTACAGCTCCTCGGTACGTACCTAGACATGTATGAACCTTAAGGAACTCCTTCGACTCTACGAAACCTATGGCCCTGCAGGAATCTATTAGTTCCATCTCCACGCCTATTGTGGAGAGTTCACAACTTGCTTCAGAATGTGTCCAGTACCTTAATCCCTTCACGCTGGGATTCTTTTGACCGTGACTGGTGGTCTGTGGTATGCCCAGTATACAAAGTTCTGTCCAGCATAGGCTGGACAGGCTGTACTTGGAACAAAAGACTTCCTGCTGGGAAGTGCCATCAATTTTTGGCTTGCATTTTTCGAAGGTAATCCACCACTGTTTTAAACAGTATACCACTGTTTTGGGCATAGCACGCCCATGGTTAAGCGCCGTGGACAAAAGTGCTCCAGGGCCCCATTGATGAGTGACACAGCACCACTGCATGTTAATCTAGCTGCGTTTGAAAAGACACCACTCGCATTCACTGGAGACAAAGGAAATTATGCAACACCTCACAATTCTGGGCTCTCTTTTCAGGGTGGCAGGCCTGGCTGAAATATTCGGGAGTCAATGAAGGTTACCTGTCTGCTAAGAGTAGCCGCCTGTGTAAACGTCCATTAAATGAAATGATGAACTTTGAAGAATGTTGAAAAACTGAAAATTTTGAAACTCTCCCGTAGGTATGCACTGCATTTTTAAAAGCACCCAGCAGCATGTGGTTAAAAGCTGCTGAGCAAAATTGTCCATCTGGATGATCAGTTGGTTTGAGTTGTAGCGGACACCGAGATTCGCAGTCCCAAATGTGGAATCAATTGCTTTGTCTTGACTTTGATCAGGCTGGACCGGCAGTGAGACATAAATGCTTGAAGGCCATCCTGAGGATGGTGTTCTTTGCCGAGGCCGACTTGCTCCAAGACGTACTGAAGAACCACGCTGTGTCAAGGTAAGTCTCACGCTGATTGAAATTTGAGACTGCTCACCCGGGGCAGGGAAGCTCATTTAGTTTGGAGGAGTCGGATTCACATCTTCCTCTCCCCAGTTTCTTTGTTCAGCCTAAAACTCACAACTAGTGAAACTAGTTCTAAAAATTTGTTTTATCCTGAGTGATTCAATGACAAGAACACTCCCTTGGAATGACCTAAATCAAGTGACTTGACCTGAAGTAACCCACCCTAAACTAAGCTAATCTAAAACTAACAGTCCTCAGTCCTTCGTTTGTTTAGAGGACTGAGGACTGCCAGGGTGAAGTGAGGACATTTAGATTCAATCTTGTCTTGTTGTACAGGATGCATTTGTACTCGTAGATTGAAAGTTATTGTATCAATGGTTCTTGTTGAACTTTTTTGTTTGTGACAATAGTCACATAGCAGCCATGATGTCATCCCAGGACTACAAGGTTGTGGTGGGCGCTCTACAGATGGCTGAGATCCTGATGCAGAAACTCCCTGAAATCTTCCACGTTTACTTTAGACGAGAAGGTGCGCCTGTGGACGCAATGTTCATTTTAGTCAGATTCTTGATTTTATTTCCGCTGTTTAAAAAAATTTAAGCCTGAAATCTTGGTGGTGGCGTACTTATAACAACAGAGGGCAGCCTTGCGAGCCGAGATTGAGTATTTCGGTCAAATTCTCCAGTTTCTCAGTGGCTTCAACTACATCCTCCCAACCACTCATATGGCACCAAAATGCCCTCTGCAATAAGACATAACCAGGGCTGTATGTTTCAGCAAGCACAGATTCAAGGCGTGCCCAAGATTATTGGCTGATAAACAAATGTGAATCACTTCACATGTAGTCTTTCTAACTAGCTGTTGTGTTCTGACTCACTGCATGTGGAAGGTTTTAGTATCGTGGGCAGTTCATTTGATTTCTTATTTTCTTAAACCTGAATCCAGGGGTTATGCATCAGGTCAAGCTGCTGGCCGAGTCCCCCATCGAGGCAGACTCCTCCCCACCCCTCAAGCCCAAGACCAGTACCCCGAGCACCTCCAGGGAGACGCCCCAGAGCAGAGACCCAGGCAGTGCCGACGTGGGGGCCGACTTTGACACACCTCCACAAGGGTAAATCCAGTCGAGTATCCATAACTTCTCGGCGCTGGCTTCGACACGACCAACTTTTGCACTTGCGGGAATAGATCTGTCACGATAAAGTTGTCCATTTTGGAGCAGACGGTTTGTTCCTTTCTATAGTTTTGCCAATTTGGAAAGGTACACATGGTGCATGATGTTTGCCCAGTTGAACTTCCAAAAAAAGAGATGTAGCTGAAATCTCAGGAGTTTGCCTTCACTCTGGCTGCTCTGACTCATGCACCTGTTCAGCATCTGAAGGCTTGCACGCCTCTTGGCTAATTACAGCACCCTCTTATTGGAAAAGGCACATATTAAACGCAAATGCGTCTCCGGTAAATTGAAGAGGGGCCATCGCAGTTAATGGCATCTGATACTGGTCAGTGCAGTACTCTATGTGTCTGCTAGAGAATTGCTTGAATATACTGGATGCCTTGAATACAGCCAGCTGGGGCCAATTTCATAGAGCTGCTTAAGCACAGAATTTGCTTAAGCGCGAAAAACCTTGCTTAATAAACAAAGGTTACCAGCTCAAACTCTATGTGATTGTCATGCTAACTAAAAGACAGGTAAATACCATTCCAAAACAGTATACATCACAAGAGGTTTTGGCTGGTAACCTGATTTGTCAAGCAAGGTTTTTTTCACGTTTAAACAAATTTTTCGCTTGAGCAGCGCTATGAAATATGCCCCACAGGTAGTGTTTCTCGGACTTTACCAAATCAGGGCCAGAGTTTTTCGTTACTGGGTACTGCATTCTGTGATCCGATGATCTTATCTCCGTTTTTTTTTCTGATTGTGATAATCACGATCTGACAGGAGACTGAGTGACGTCCTGAAATGGAAGCGGCCGCCCAAGCGGGCGGTGGGCCGCAAGAGCAAGTACGCCAGCAACGATGACAGCAGCAGCGGTGGCGGCGCCTCGCCGTCCCCGTTTGATGTCCTGGAGGCCCACCACACTCGGCTGAGCAGTATGATGGCCAGCGGAGCCGGTAAAGCCACGCCCACGGGCCGGCCCTCAGCCGCGGCCAAAGGGAAGGCCGCCATGGGTATGTAAGCCTGCTTCAACTTCAGACTGTCGGCAAAGCGAGCCTTGTAAATTGGCAAACATTTGTAGGTGCACCTGCTGTCGGGAAATCAAAAGCTCGGCAAGGGAGAATGCCAAATTGAAGAAGCGGCAAGGTTTACCTAGCAGTGTTCCAAAAAGCCTGTAAAAGCTGCTGGTCAACCTCAAGTTACTACATGTTTAACTTTGCATTCCCGGTCACAAAAGTTACGTATTCATGTCTTAAATATAAACACCACAGCGGTATCGTATTCTCCCGTCAGTAAAGCTCTTAATGAATGAATTCCTGTCCCACTGTGTAAAATATTTTTCTCTAACTTGTATATCCGTAACGTGCCTGTGAGTTCATGAAAATCAAAATCTTTAAATTACATGTTAGTATGCAAAGTGCGTGCACGGACTTCCAGTTCTTCAGTTTATGAAACCAGAACTACTCATTGCGCGGTTTGCGGATAATGTTTCCAAGCAGCACTGGTGTGCAGTTCAGGAAGATGATTATGCAGTGAATGTTAACTTTGGACCGGAAGTCTTGGCTTATGTGTCTTTGTGTTCCATTCTTGCCTTCCAGGTAAGAATTCGGGGGCCAGCCAGCGTTCGTCATTCCTCTCCTCTCTCAACCCGTCCCGCTGGGGGCGCTCCAACAGCAGCGGTAATGGTGCGGCTGCCGTTGTCCCGCCGCCCACCGGCAACTCTAACTCTTCGGGCCCGGCCGCTTCCCTGGACAAGACACCTTCCTCCCAGGACTCGCTGAGCCTGCACCGGGCCGCCTCGCACCACAGCGCGCACCACCACCACCATCATCACCACCACCACCACCACCACGCTGAGGCTCGGGCCTTTGGACTGGACGGAGCGGCCTCCATGCACCTGGCTGCGGTGGGCAGCGGCGGCGGCGGTGCTGGTGCGAGCAGCGCCAGCCAGAAGGAGAAGATCAAGCAGTGGATCAAAGAGCAAGGTCAGTGCCGAGTGACCAGCGCCAGGCTAGTTGTGTCCAGTGATGGATTCGAGTTCATCGCAAGTCTCTTGATGTCCATCACAGGTCATCGAGTCTTAAGCTGTTCAAATGAACAGTAACGAAAACATTTCCTGTGTCATTGTTCACGCTGTCTGGACTCATTAACGGACTTGTAACAAGACTTGCCAAATGACTTTTAATGCACTTTTTGGTATTGGACCCTTATCAAAAAAGAAGAGGAACTTGAGACCAAAACACTGTTGAATTGGGGATAAATAATGTCACAGACCCCGGCCACACATATAAACCATACGGCTCCGATTTCGGAGTCCCCGGCCGGTAGTGGTTAAAAGTCAATCAACGCAATTTACATGTGTGTTAAAGTTGTTTCTAGGCAAATTCTGAGGTGACTTACGAGGAATAAAAGTGCCGACGTAGGCAAAATATATACCAGTCAAAGACAACACGAAATGGTTCCAGTTTTCGAGTCGGTGAACTATCAAGCAAAGAGTAACATTTCAAAATCCGCCCCCCCCCCACATGTTCGCGTGCTGCTCACATTTGATTTCTCTCTGCTGTGTAAAACCGCAGCCAGCAAGTTCATCAACCAGTACTTTGGAGAGGAGATGCAGGGGGAGAGCCACCCGGCCCTGGGCATGCTGAACAAACTCTGCGTGGCAGTGGACCGATTGCTCCTGGAGGTAAGTGCCCTCGGGGAACAACTCCCGGTCTTTGACGTTCGCTGGCAGCGTTGGGCCTTCCACGTCACTGTGAAGGTGGAGGTCGGCGCTACGAGGTTTAGCCTCCATGACACATGTATCCCCGCCTTGGATTTGGTACAGTTTTGACGTCCTTTTGTTTTTTGGTTGGGTTCAAATCTGTAGAAAGAGCAGGGGGTCGACTGCCTGCAGGACATCGCCAACATCCTGACCAACTCGGACGTCTCGCCGTTCGAGATCCTGCACAGTGGTCTGGTCAGCCGGCTGCTCAACTTCCTGACATCCAACAGCGGCAGGGAAGTCTTGGACCGCTACACCAGGCTCAAGCGATTCCTGCATGTGTTCCTTCACTGTCCGGTTCGTGACAATGTTCCTCTCTGTATCCGTACCTTGGGTCAGGGGGCGGCGATCCTCAGGGGATTGGCAGTTTGATACGGTAGTTAAAACTCTCACAGCTTGACATGCTGCTCCAGGTTCTTGATGTTAGATTGAAGAATACTCCATTTAGCACTGTACTGTGCTTTGCAGTCTGTCACAAGTCCTTCACAAGTCATGCAGATGTAAGCCAAGTCACAACCTGTTCCACAGAGCTGTGACCAGAGCGTTCCTTTGTCACGGTTCACCGTGTTACCAGCAGCTGGTCTTGTGAACGGACTTGTGACTGGACTTGTAAAAGAACTTGGGACAGACCTGATTGTGGGCCAACCTAACAAAATGAGTCACAAGTCGCCAGAGCAACAATTGAGTGAAAGGCCCTCAAGAGAATCTTGCAATAGGTAAATCATTGGGGACCCTCGGCAATTCTCACTGGTATTATCCATTTTCGTTGTCATGCCAAAATTGTTGATTCCTCAAATCAAAGAACTCATTTGCTCTTTCTGTGCTAACTCTAACAAACTTAACCGAATATATGGGCTTAAGACTCATTTTGTGGGAACCAGTTACATTTTACTTAGAATGCCAGTTTAAAAGGCGTTTGCCAGCATGTAAAAAATTTGCTTAGCAAAAAACAGGTTACCGTTACATGTCAGTGTGTCACACACTCTGTACTTCCCACAGCTGGTTTCCTGCTAATTCTTGCTTAGATATTCTTGCTCAGCTGCTCTGTGAAATTGAGTGAGTCCTGGTTGAACTCTCGTTTCCCCCCCCCTTTCTCATTTTTAGCTGCCAGACACAGCCCCCATCCGGGCTCTGGACCACCTGGTCACCCCTCCCTTCGTGGCCCTGGTCGGCAAAATCAACGGCTGCATCAACCACCTGGAGCAGTTCCCGGTCAAAGTTCACGACCTGCCCGGAGGCAGCAGCTCCGGGACCCGCGGCTCGCAGGCCCTCAAGTTCTTCAACACGCACCAGCTGAAGGTGGGCAAGACTGTCTGCCGTTCTTAACCTTAATTCCCTTGGCGCCGTTTAGCTTGGAAATTCCCTGCACCCTGCGCGAACATCCAGTGCCTAATTCTTTGCACTTGGACTCGGGCGCGTGTTCAGGCTCTTTGTGAAGAAACGATGGCTGGGCTTGACCTTTGTAAATTTCTGCAAATCCTCCACAATCTCTCGGTAGCTCTTGACCGATGTGAGGGGGGTCAGGCTTATTAGTGAAAATCAAGATTGGGGTTTTCAGCTCAAGACTTATCCAGCGCTACTGTTTGACCAATAGAGATACTTTCTTGCACCTCGAGTTGATGTAACCGTAGCTATGGCATCTCCTCAGATCCGTCTGTAGCCTGTGGTTAAAGGAGTTAATCCCACAGGCAGTTGGTGTTAAAATTTAGCGCTGGCCAAAAGCTCAACTTTTAGTATACTTTCTTCACCGTTGACACGCCACACTCTGTGTAGGACGACGACGACGACGACTCTGCCCTGCCGCACTAAATACCTGAGAATGGTGCTGTGTCAGTTGTTGCATGGTGGTTTGGGCAGTCAGGGTCGAAATTAAGAAGAAACCCCACTGTAAAGTCTCTCGTATCTCGTCACAGTGCCAGCTGCAGCGTCACCCAGAGTGCACCACCCTCAGGCAGTGGAGGGGCGGGCCCGTCAAGATAGACCCCCTGGCCCTAGTCCAAGCCATTGAGAGGTACCTGGTTGTGAGAGGCTACGGTCGATTGAGACAGGTGAGTACGCCACCTCGAGTCAAGCCGACAAATTGAGGGATTGAGTAGCTGTGAGGGAGGGTTTATGAGAGTTAAGTCGGATGCCCAAAGTATGGTTACCCGAGATGCCTGTGCTGTGTGTATTCAGCAGATCAGTACCCGAGACTTAATGCAACAATGATCCCAGTTTTTTTGTTTGTTTTTTTTAATTTTCAGGAGGACGAGGACAGTGATGATGATGCCTCAGATGATGACATCGATGAATCGCTGGTGAGAATGTCTATTTAGACAAGGGAGAATCCGATTGGCCTCATAACGGGTTGTACAGATAATGCCGATTGAGTGGCCATGGAAAAAAAGTGGGAAAGAAGGGTCGCCTTCATGAAAGTAGTCCCTTTATAAAAATAGTTTTCCGATTTGTCATCAGTCAAATTTACAAACGTATGGAACCCACAATCGGTGCCTTAGTGCTCTCCTGTTTCATAAAATTCACAAGCTGTAACTGATCTCTTCTGTCAGACTCGCAGTGCATTTTGGTTTTCGCAGCAAGTTTTTCCCTAATTTCCCGAGTTAATAAGTTTCTAGGTGCAGTTTTTCTTAATCCCACAATTAAACTGACGAGGTAGATTTGTTTAGAATCCTCTAAGGTGTTTTTGTATGAAAGATAAGTCAGTTCTATGCTTTTGCCTGTCAGTTCGTGAAAACCAAATTCTTCAACGCCTCAGTGTCAGTTCCTGAAGCCCAAATTGTTTATCGTGGTTTTCACAAAGTGTTACTCGCATTTTCAGTTTGTGATAGCCGTAACGAACTTAGCCAACGGTATCCGCTCTGGTTTTATTTTTTATCGTGGACAGGCCGCGGCCTTCTCCAGCTCCAACATGAACATCAAGCACAAGCTGGAGTTTGTGGTCAACGACCGCACCCTGCCTTACAACATGACCGTCTACCAGGCCGTCAAGCAGTTCGGCGGCAGCTCGGCCGAGGAGGACCGGGACACGGATGACGAGAGCAACCCACTGGGCCGGGCCGGCATCTGGATCAAGACGCACGTCATATGGTGGGTGGCGGTGAAGATTTCCCCCCCGTGATCAGCGCGTCTCCGTGCCCTCCACCAGTCATCACCTGAGCCTGGCCAAATCTCTTTGCTTTGAGCCATGCTGGTGGGGAGTGTTCATTTTGTCAGTAGCGACGCGACTGTAAAGCGTACATTTCTTTCTCGTTTGTAAACCAGCAAAGTGCAGTTCCCACCAAGGGATTCTCCATCGCTAGGAAACTTGCGCCCTCTCTTGGTCCCGCTCGGGGCCTATATGATCGCTGTGTGGGGAGAATGACCCTAAATAGCATTTCAGTGCTAGTAGCCGTAACCTAACCGAAAGATGTGACAAGTGACATAAAAGGGAATGTTCGTTCGAAGTCTGCTAATGCTGTATGTTGAACATATGCTGCAAGGTATGAGACGGAGAGAA